AAACTCCTCTATTTATAGCAAGAAATTCTTGGCCTAATAATGGATATTATGTCATGGCAAATGTCATGATCCACAAATTTGTTATAATGAATATTATGTCATGGCAAATGTCATGAAAATTTGGCCATATTACAAGGCAACATCACAATTCCGAGTCGTCAGAATAATTCTACTTCCCTTGTTGTCATCTGGGAAGCATAAATGTAAATCATCCCATGCATTAGTATGCCAGATATCATCAATGACGATAAGGTATCTTGTGCGTATTAATTTCTTCCGAAGTTTATATGCTAATACATTTTCAGCCTGTTTCTCAAGTTCAGCCGTCTCACCAACAAGATCACCTAGAATGGTTAATAATATGTCCTTTCGTGTATATTCTTGTGAGACACACATTTGGGCACGTATATCAAAAGGAGAGACAACTGACTGATCAAAGTATAGTCTGTTTGCCAAAGTTGTCTTTCCCACTCCAGGCATCCCAGCAATAGAGATGACATCAATCTTTGAAGATCCTTTAGTTAGTTTATGTCTTAGTTCGTCCATCACATCCTTACGGCCAACCAATTCTTCGTTCATGCCAGGAATCCTAGCAAAATGTGAATAAGTATCTGCATTGGTAGCATCTGTGGTGTTATGCAAAGCAAAGTCAAATGCATTCTTTTCTTGAACCTCTGCCACCTCTGCCATGAGCATTCTAATGTCCTCTCCGACATTCAAGATCCAGATAAGAAGACACCAGCCAGGAATATCTTTTTTCTTACAAGCATCAAATATATATTCTACCTCATACACCAAACCAATCACCTGTGTTGCAAAATGTTGAAGTCCGCCATGCTGTTTTACAACAGCTTGAAAGCACATAAGTTCTTTCTGGATTGTCTGAAGTTGGCTCTTCACAGACTCTACTGAATTTGAATAGAGGCTTAAAAACGTCTCCTTGTTGTCTAAAATGAAATCAGCAGAGCCTACTCCATCAATTCCAGGTAAGTTGAGCTGAAGGAGAAATGTTTTTCTGGTGATGAGGTAGATCATTGCTTGCATATTCTGAATTTTACCTTGGAGATCAAGAACTAGTACGTTGTTCGTTTCCCCCACAGCCGTGTCTTCCTTATCCTTCTCCTTTACAATTAATGAGTAAACCGGAAGTCCTGCATCAACAATCACAGAGTCGATATCTTGAAAATGAAACTCAAGGGCCTGTAGTTTGGTGAGATTGTCTCTCAAGAAGCTGAGCATCTCCTGAAGTTGTTTTATTGCTACGTTATTACTAGAAATTGATAGTTCTTCCAAATTGTGTAAGAGAGTCTCGAGAAATCCAACTTCACAATCGACTACATACTTAATCCTGATAACGGGATACCATCGTGACTGTACTATCTTTAGAGCTTGCAGGACATCAATATAGATCATGCAGATAGTGTTGAAATTGTCAAAAGTCCCACATCGGTGGATGACAATTTTGAATGGAAATTTCACCCTAT